CAATTTCATCGCGGGCCACATTCGCATAAAGGTTGCACTCAAACGGCCGGTTGTAACTATATAAATATATAATATATATATATATACATATATAAAATAATGTATTATATTACATTATTGCCTCTAATTGGATTATTATCGGATAACTTAGTAATTAACTATGTCTGAAAGCAGATGTCCAGGGCAAATAATTGCAAGTGTCTTCAGTGCACATGTCACAAAACGAGATGCATTGTGGGACATGTAGTTTATTCGCAACCTGCTTCTGTAAAGTGGCATGTAACCGTATAATAAACGTATTATATTCTTTGCAAGCTCTTGCGAGGCCACATAAAATGAAGTCGCGGGCCGGATTTGGCCCCCGGGCCTTGAGTTTGAGACTCCTGTTTTACAGCATAGGTACACCAAATGTTTGTAAATGCATGTGTCTATAATAAGAAGATGAATCCACGAGGATGTCAGCAATCCTGTGGGAGCCATCAGGGAAGCAGCATGATGAGAGTCAGGCAGGACCACAGTGATAGGTTCAGCCACGACTCGTAGTCCAGGACTCAAATCCAGAACTCAGGATAGAGGATCCAGGACACAGGACCGCAGCAACAGGATCAGCCACGACTCAGGATCCCGTCGTAGATAGACACCAAAGTATTATAGTATATAGTATTATATAAACTCACTGCTGTCTTCAAAAAGTTCTTCCTTCCACCAGAAACTAATACCAGAACTAATTCAGTGTTCACATTTTAGAAAACAAATGTTATCTGATTTCAATCCATGAAATGAATAGAGAATATTGAATGCTTAATCCACAAATTGTTCAAAACCTCTTCAGGGTTATTGTTAGAAACAAAGAAATCTATTTGCAAACTTAATTTTCTTTCTCTGTAATAAAAACAATTCTGATATTGCCACAAGAAAAAAAAACTGAAACATAACAGAGCTGAAATGTCACATGCATCTAATTTATATAAAACATATTTACTGCATGGAGAAATTACACAAATATGAATAAGTGGGTGATTTGCCAAATATCAAACAACGTTAATTACTGTACATTTATAACTCTGTAATATTATGTAGTGAGAAATATTCATGTCAACGACTCTCATCTGATTGACAAAAAGCCAAAACGTTACCAGATAAACAAGGCCAGCAATGTAAAGTATTCCATGTCTGAAAAAGGGTTTGGATACACTTTGATATTTCCTGTATGCAAGAGGAAACCTTGGCCTGATTGTGAGGCTAGCAGGAAGTTCACGGGGTCAACAAGAAACCCTCTGGGAACTATGATTATTTACAGTTCATGTCATAGAAACCCGGCCTTTAGTGGTTAAAGCAACTGTTTAATGTCAAAGGTATAGTTTAGCATTTTTTGAATTGGGGTTGTATGAGGTACGCACCCATTGTGTATTATCTACAGAAGAGGATGGCGGTTGACAGGATTAAGGATGCAAAAGTAAAGCATTGTACTGCTGTGGCTTATTCCAGCCACATAAAAAAATCAATATTAGTTTGAGTGTATAGTTAAAAAAAATTCCCCCTCAGACTGTCCTTTCCAAAGGGAACTGAAGCCGCTATATCTACATATTTTCTCCCTAAAGCCACTGCACTCAGTCCACATTATAACAAACTAACTGATGGAGGCAGGGGAAGACCAGCAGATCCTGTTTTTTGTTAAAATTACAGTTTTTGCCAATGGAGTCTAGTGGCTTTGAAGAGAACATAGCATACATTTCTTTTATTTCATTTTATCGTTTATATTTTGTTCTGCTGCCCCTGTCCGGTAGTTTATACAACCCCACTTTAAAACATCTGAACTATCCTTTTAAGGGTATCTTTGTTTGTGCTGAGGCATATGAACTTAACTAGGATTGGATTGCATGCTTTCTTGTTTATGAGGTGACCTGTTTCCTCTGGTTTTGTCATAAAGTCTTCTCTTCCCGGTGAGCAGTGCTCCCACTGGGCTTCGGGCCCCGGGGCCACTGGCCGTCCTGCAGCAGAGCTAAAGACTTTAACTTCAATCCAGGTGATGCCACAGCGTGTTGACCTGAGCCATCGTCTTTTGACACCCGTTTAACGACCCGGAAAATATGTGGGTCAGCTGTCAGCATAGAGGCAGTTACCCCTTGAAATCGCCCAGGTCAAGATCAGAGTTGAGTACCGGGCCAAAGTTTTAGTGCTAAAGAATCAGAGCTGTTTACCTGCGTGGGTGCACTCACCTGTCCATGTCAGCGGCAGAAGAGAAGACTTCCATGATGGCTAAATATGAGGGGGGGGCTAACCACTGTCCTGTTTTGATTTGTTTCTCCGGCCAAGTCACAAGCAGCTGCTGCTTAATAAGTACTCTGATTATCAGCTTCCCACTATTACCACTAACCCTGATGATTCCTTTGAGTCATTTTCAACTATATGATTTATAGTTGGTGAATAATGGTTCCTGGGTGTTGCCTTCCTTTTCCACTGAATTTCATCTCTAAAGTTCCCAGCTACATTTTTCCTGAGGCTCTGGCTTTATTTATTAATTTGCTACATTTTTGACAGTCTATCACTTTTTTTATTTGTATATTTTTCAAAGTATTCTCAAAAACGCTATTTTAATTTCAAGATGTTCTATTAAATATTCTTAACAATGCTCTAATTCAAAATGTGCATTAACACAGGTGCAGAGAAACCATTTGCTCTGTCTGAACTCTCTCAAATCAACTGCACCTCACTTTTCCTCCCTTAAATGTCCATCCTTACGCCCATCTCTCCCGTCCCTCTTCCTGCCCTCCATCCAGCCATCGCCCTCTCCCATTTGACCTCTTTACGCGTCTCTTTCCCATACCCCCTGCTGCTATATCGTACCCACCGCAGCCCCGCCGCCTCTCTGCCACCAGACCCCACACTGCCTGTGGCGTGTAATTGACTTTCTCCCTGCACTGGAAAAGCGGGCGGCCCGCGCCAGGCTGGAGGTGACCCATTTCCCTGGGGCATTCAGCAGCCTCCTAATCAACCATTCTCTGGGGCCGCCTCATTCACTCCGCAATTAGAGCAACTCCCCCTTTGAGAACTCCATCAATAGGCTGCCAAACAGGCGGGCGGGCTGGAGCGTCTGAGGAGCAAAGACGGAGTTTCACTCAAACACTTTGCTTTGGCTCTACAAGCTCTAAACCCCTCGACTTTGTACCTCCCCCTCTCCTCTGTATGCCTCCTCCGCTCCTTGTCTTCCTCGTGGTAGGTTTCATCAGACAACAGCAAGCAGGGTTTTTGTTTGACGATGAGCAGCAGACAGGGGAGGCAGGTATAGGCGGGAGAATAGGAAAGAAGAAACGCAGGCAGGCAGGCAGATAAAGGCAACGAGACAGTCAGACAGACAGTCGGATGGGAGGTACTCAAGGGAGAGATTAAAAGAGAAAACTCAAAGCGGGAGCGATTGAGCATTTTCTGAGCATCTCTTGCTTTTAGAAGAAAATTCACAAGAATTCCCTGTTGTTGTCTTGCAAGGGAATACACTAGTGTTTCACCTGGTCTTGAAGACATGTATGAAAGCGAGCCCTAACATGTTCACTGCCTGTTTGAGCCGGATACCATCTTGTTTTAGAACCGAGAGCGCAGCACTGAGGATCAGAGCGATTTCTATCCAAGAATAGAAAAAGTAAGAAAGAAATCAGACATTTTCATGAACTGATCCCACAAGAAGGAGCATGAGATGATGGTGCATGGTGATTAAATAACAGGCCGGCTCTCTCCCCTTCCGTTGGCCTGATTTGCTATGCAGGAGAGGCAGTGCTCTGGTCAGAGGATAACCATGTAATCAATGGAGTGAAAAAGCTGCCCTGGCTGTGAAGGTTAAGAGGGGAAGCTTCCAGCCCACTCTGTGCGCCACACATGCATTCAACACACACCAGACAGTCTGAACGTCTCCTCCTCTAATTCCTCCCCCTCTCACCTGTTCCCCTTCCCTCCCGTCTTTCTTTGACATGCCTTTATCTCTTTTTCTCTCAGCTCGCTCCCCCCTGCCGCCTCCTCCTCCTCTTTTCGCTCTGATTCCCGCCTTCCATATTTTTTCTTCCTCTGCATTTTCTCTGTCTATCCCCCACTCTATTTGTGCTCTGTCTTTTTCTCCCCTTAATTTCCTTTCCTCTCCTCCCTCCCTTCCTCCATCCTCTTTTCCCTCCCCTCCTATACCTTTCCCCAGTGTCAGCTGCTGTCACTGTGGCAAAGAAAATGACCAATCAGAGCTCACTTCACAGCACCAGCTTCTCCCTCTGTGCGTTATTGCTTCCGATCTTTCTCCTCCTCCTCTCCTCTTCCTCCTCTTCCTCTTCGCCTCCTTCTGCCTCTCTTCCCTACAACCTTTATCAGCTCACTTCCTGGGAAAGAAATGTGATGCATTATGGGAGACAGACGGCTGTCTAACAGGGTTAGTTGTGCAGCGTGGCTTATCGTCAGAGACACTGCTAATCCTGTGTGTGTGTGTGTGTGTGTGTGTGTGTGTGTGTGTGTGTGTGTGTGTGTGTGTGTGTGTGTGTGTACAATGGCTACAAGTGTGTGTCTGTCTGTGTGTCTCTATGTATGCATTCAGTGTGTGTGTGTGTGTGTGTGTGTGTGTGTGTGTGTGCGTGTGTGTGTGTGTCAGCCATATGAGCTGATGAACTCATACATGCACAGACACACACACAACAAACAAACACAACCTCACGCTTACTCTGTTTTTCTAAGGGAGACGAGGAGGCAGACGAGACATGTTTATGAACGTCAGTCTCTGCCAGGAGAATATGATTTGCATGGTATAAGCATATTTCGACGCTGCTGTGTGTTTTGCACTGTATCCACTTCATAAACTGCTCTTGGTTGGTTAGTTTTTGCTGAGTTCAAAAGGACGATTCCCATGTCTCCTTACTTTCGCAATTATGTATCAATGGAAGCTAAAAGGCCTTGAGGAACATTGTAATTCCTCCTATGCCTGCAATAAAGCATTGTTTACACCTGTGTGTGTGCTCCTTCCTCTCAGGTGCTGATATGCGTTCACAATGAGCGGACTGGGGGAGAACTCCATGGAGCCTCTGAGCTCAGAAAACCGGAAACGCAAGCTCTCCACTTGCGAGACGCCAGGTCTTGGGTGAGTGTTTCTGATGAGCACGAGAGAAGAGATGAGCATGAAGTGGGCTACTGGGTCAGCGGCTTCTCCAGGCCGAGCATTGGTGCTCCTCTGTGTGCTGTGAAAAGTTGAAGCCAAAATATGTGCACATTTTTAGGAGGATTTTGACCATAATGTTGGTAGAAAAAGCACTTCCTGATTGATTTAGCCTACTTAGATTGTCATTGAATTGAAAATCCTTCTCAGGAAGGTAAGGATATGACACTTGAACTGTGATTCTACAATTTATTATTTACAATTGTTTTTATAAGTACGCAATGTTTGATCCCAACTGAATTGAAATTCAGCAAAACATAAATGTAATACATGCTAAATGATTTCTAATGAAACATTTAGCTTCATGTTTGATGGAATCAGGGGGAAATAGTACTTCAGCCTTGCTTCCATTCAGACGTTGGACATCACTGACGCAATAGCCTTGGCTTATTTTTAAACTTTGCAACTTTTGCAGGTGTGACAGGAAGCGACGGGAACAGGAGAGCAAATACATAGAAGAGCTAGCAGAGCTGATCTCGGCCAACCTCGGCGACATCGACAGCTTCAACGTCAAACCAGACAAATGTGCCATCCTCAAAGAGACGGTGCGCCAGATCCGCCAGATCAAAGAGCAGGGTGAGTGGACGCACTTTGTCTGAGATCCCTGTCAGAAGGACTGTTGAGAAGAGTGTCTAGGAAACATTGGGAGAGGTGGTGAAGGGAGGGGAGAGAGAAAGCTGGAGACCACACACACACACGTGCCTTCTCAGAGCCCAGGTGCAAGGACGAATCAGTCATTCATCTCCCACAAATTTCACAGCCTGAACTGTTTATGTTTGGGTGGAAACATTGGCAATGCTTTGTGAACCTGTCACTTGTACGTGTGTGTGTGTGCGCGTGTGTATTATGAGCATGCACAGCTGTGTGCTGCCCTCGCCAGGGGCTGTTTAATTGGACGTTTGCAGGTAATCACATGCCCATCCATTCTGCTGAACTGCCAAATTGTTAGTTCTGTTACAGCGGCCGTTGTCATACTTCTGTCTCCATTATGCAGCAGTCATCATTTCCACTGCAAACAAAGTGAAAACGCTCCAGGCTGAGAGTCTTGCATCGCTGAACGGACATATTGTTGCTTCTTAAATTCAGCCCTGTGTGAATTTTCAAAGATCAGGGGTGAATTCTGTTCTCGTGCCTGTGCTCGGCTCCGTCAGCGTCTGCCACCTCGACAGGAAGGGGAAGAGGCTACAGCTGGCCCTGACTGGCTGCTGACACGTTGCCATAGTTACAGGAAGTGAAGACAGAAATGACACAGGCGTTTACACTCGTCTCTCCCTCTCTCTCTCTACCTGTTCCTGTTCTCACTTTCAGTTGCTCTTTCTACAAACCTTCATCTTTGCTCTTTTCTCCTTCAATAAATCCTCACTTGGATTTTACGTACTCTGCTCGAGCGTCTTCTTCCTCTTCTGCTTCCCGGTTTTCTTTCTCCTCCACTCTCATCTGTATTGCAGCATCTTTAGATTTGCTCCCAGCATCTTAAGATATTGAGGGAACTGATGGAGGGCAGCCTCTCTCTTTCTGGTTCTGTCTCCTTCCTCTCCCTCTTTCTTTCCGCCATTCTCTACCTAACTTCACAATGCCTGGATGAGGCAGCAATGGCTTTTTTTCTTCTTTGTGTGGGTATCTGTGCCCCTTGGGAGCTAATCAGATAGAATGATTCCTGTAGCCGAGCAGCCCCCGCCTCTTCCTCAGACCAATCCCTGCATTAATACCCAAATGCCAGGCATTTTCTCTCAGCATCGTCTCCGTCCACCTCCCTCTGGTCCTTCCTGTCTCTCTCTCTTTATCTGTCTGTCTTCCTTTCTCTCTCTCTCAGCCCCTCCATTAATTCAGGTGCCTCCTGCCCCTGCACCATTACAGCTTCCAGAGCCTCTGTAGCTCTCTCCCGCGCTCCCTCTCTCTCTCAGCCCCAGCCTACCAGACAGTCCCTCAGAGTCTGACACTGAATATAAAGCAAGAGGACGGCTGCTACCTGCTCCACATGCACCCAGCCCTCTACTCCTCCTGACGGGCTCCTCAGAGAAACCTGCTTCCGTCCGTCTCCCTCCTCACCTGTATTTTTAAATTAGAGGGAAAAAATGTTCAAGTAAAGATTGAGAAACGCTGCCCCCTGCTGGTGCAGCTGTAGAAGTGAATAACAGTTTCCTCCAGTTCCAGGTATCGTTGCTTTCTCTTTGTGTTCTCCTTTGCTCCTTTTTTCCCTTCTTTGTAGGCAGCTAGGATTTGAAATGTCTTTTTTAATGCATCTTGTCTTTTCCCCCCTCCTGCAGGAAAAGCTTCATCCAACGACGACGACGTCCAGAAGTCTGACGTGTCCTCGACGGGTCAGGGGGTCATCGACAAGGACCACTTGGGGCCGCTCCTGCTGCAGGTGAGTGCTGCACTGCACCTCCGTCTGATCAGGGAATATTTCTTCGAGGTTTGGTGGTGACTTCCTGTCGCTGTCCTCTCAGGCTCTGGACGGCTTCCTGTTTGTGGTGAACCGGGAAGGCAGCGTGGTGTTTGTGTCGGACAACGTGACGCAGTACCTGCAGTACAAGCAGGAGGAGCTCATCAACACCAGCGTCTACAATATTCTCCATGAGGACGACCGGGAAGAGTTCCACAAGAACCTGCCTAAGACCAACAGTGAGAAACACACACACACACACACACACACACACACACATACACACATACACACTCACAGGGAGGCTGCACATCTGCTCAGAAGTAAACTCAGCTTGACAACTTCCACAGGGCCGAGGTATAAAACAACCTTTGAGAGGTTGCAACAACTCGCGCACGTCAGCGTAGACTCACTCAGTTATTTATTCACTCGTTTCTTAACCCCTTCTCTGGTTATAATGAGGAGCTCCTGGGAAGCCTGTTCATGTGCATGAGAGCTTTTCGGAAAGAGGCACACACACCTAACAAAACACACATGTGCACAGGAGCACCCGCCCACCCGGTGCTAAGCAGGCAAAGCGTAGCGCAGCTGTCAGTCACACTCAGTGGTCCAGACAGTGTAAAACAGGCCGAGCTCTATTCAGATCCCATGGCAGCCATCTGGAAACTACTTACTGCTGAATAATGCACCTCCACACTTCCCGCTACTTAATTCAATTCTTGTTTGCATGTGCCTGAGTATTAATGTGTATATTTACATGCCTATGTCAGCAAAAGGTGTGTGTGTGTGTGTGTGTGTGTGTGTGTGTGTGTGTGTGTGTGTGTGTGTGTGTGTGTGTGTGTGTGTGTGTGTGTGTGTGTGTGTGTGTGTGTGTGTGTGAGAGAGAGAGAGAGAGAGAGTGTGCATGTGTGTGTGTCTGTCTGTCTGTCTGTCTGTCTGTCTGTCTG